GAGCAGGTAATAGCACCGGCTCTTTGTTATGATTAGTGATTATTAAAACCTCGACATATCGTTGTGATTATAGTATCTCAATATATCGTATTGTTGCCTCTGCATCGTGATCCGTATCGTCAGATTCTGGCGTCTACACACCGATATTAACAGTATTTAAATCTGTTAATCCAGATGAAGTGCCTTGTATTGGTGCAACATTTGAGGCGTTCTTTCAGAGTAGCTAAAAACGACGTCCGTGCACGAGCGTCAGCTGCAGCTGTGATTTGTTGAATCAACAGGAAAAATCGACTGAGCAGCGATTGAACGGTGATAAAAATAAAAATAAACATACAGATAAATCAAGGATTTTTTTTTAGCAGCATTAGCCTCAGAAAATCTGACAAACAAACAAACATGTTCTGGACGGCTAACGCTAGATGCTAAGGCTACACTGCACTGGACTCCACACACACATCAGACTGACATGAAGGTTGGACCAGGTGTTATCAACGAAGAGAGAGAGAGAGAGAGAGAGAGAGGATGTTTTCTGAGCTCATCAGTTTCATGTATTGATTTCGTCTCATGAGAAACTCTGACTGTAGCCTAGCATAGCCTAGCCTAGCGTAGCGTAGCATCGTAAAGTCCCAGATCAAACAGGAGGATCAGGGTCACTGTGTTTGTTTTCTCGCTCTGCTGTCAAACTCTGTTCCTCTTTCTCAGGCCACACACACACACACACACACACACACACACACACCCCACACACACACACATACTGATCCCACAGCACCAAACAGTAAAACAGGAGAAAAACTACAGTAAAATAAAGTACCACGTCGGTGAAGTACTGCAGTAAAGTTCACCCTGGTTTTCACAGAGTCGTTCACTGTTCACATCATTCAACATCACCTCTAATTCCACCGTGTCTGCAGCTCATTTACAGCTGAGGTGACAAGTGGCAGAGGTTGGTACTGCAGCAGACACACTAAGTTTCCCAAGACGTTGGTATAAATACACACTCTTAAAACAGAGGTGCCAAATATAGAGGTCAACCCATTCACGGAAACAATTGTTGTTGTTTTTTTAAAAACCTGAATCGTCATCACTGTCACAGATGTCATCAAAGAGAAACTTTGACTTTGAACTTTAATCTTTGTAGAACACACTGGAGGCTCTGTAATAGTTTAGGGCTGAATTTTAGTCAACGGTTGTCTTGGAGTAAATATTAGTTTTTCTGCTTTTTTTGTTGCGATGCTCACTGTAAACTACAGTCGTTAATTATTTTATATAATAAATAATTGTACTAATTTATTACTTTCATTACAAAGTCAACTGTGGTGTTTGAAAAAACATTTTGACATTTTGTTTATTTTATTAATTATTTATTTTAATTTATTGTATATATTTTTAAGGATTTTTTGTCACTCGTGTTAAACTGATTTTTTGACATTTTTTGTAGGATTTTTACTATTAGAAAGAAAAAGAAAAACATTATAAAATACACTGTCAATTTTTCTTTTATTTTCCGAATTTTTTTTAGAAACATTTTTTTTTTAGCCTGTATTAAATGTATACTGTAGTTTCCTTTTTCTCCTCCCTCGGGGACGCGCATCACTGCGCGCTCCGGCCCCAGCTCGGTACCTCCCCCTTCAGCAGCGTGTGTGTGAGTTTGACTCCCCTCCTTCACTTCAATGAACACTATTGTTGAGAAGTGAAGGTTCCACAGCAGACCTGAGCGGACCGGGGTCTGTGGGTTTCAGTCTGACACCCGGACACGGCGCGCGTGTGTGTGTGTGTGTGTGTTTATATCGACTAAACCACTGGAGTCAAAGGAGAAAGTTTTGATTTTTCTTTTTCCTTTTTTTGGTTTTTGTGCATCGACACAGTGGAAGACTCTGCACTGAGGGCAAACCTTGGATTATTTACCCCGGGGTAAGTTTCTGTACGCTGCTCTCTGACTCTCTGACAACGTAAAAATGTGCGTGAAACTTCGGACGCGCCGACACCGGGTCCACGGCTCCGCTCCATCCACGCGCGTCCGCGAACAGCGTCCACGCGTGAACGTCCTCGTTCATACAGTTGGTGTCGGCGTGAACTGTTGCCCAAACCTGGGGGCAGGACCCGCTGCACGGTCGTTTCAGCGCAGGTTGACCCGCGGAGGGGTGGGGTGGGGGGGTGGGGGTCAACCTGCGCTTCATTCTGGCTTCAAAATGATATAAAATATATTTTTATATTGTTTTATTAATTTAAATATAGCATTAAAAGTCGATGTGTATTTAACATTAATCCCGTATTGTTACATTAAAATTCCTTAGTCGTTATTAAACGATAAGTCGTGACTTATTCTGACACATAAACGTAACACGGTCCCTAGATTGAGCCACGCCTTAAATCTGAAAAAACAAAACAAAACAAAAACAAACAGACGTGAAGTTCTGTCACAGTTGTTTTTACCTGGTGATGAAAGACAGAAATCTGATCTCCACCTCAGACCTGCTGTCTTCAC